GGGAGCGGCCACTGCACTCTAGTCTGGGCAACAGAGTGAGACTCCGACTCAAAAAAAAACCACAAGCCCCTTCCGGTAATGCTGTGCTCAGTGCCTGCAACCAAAACCACAAGCTTGTGCTATTGTTACAAAAAGTACAAAACCTTAACGCCATGAAAATCCCCTCCCCCTCCCCAAAGCCAATGTAAAACCTACATAAGCTGAGACCCAACCGTGATCGGGGCCCAGTCTCTGACTGGAGTCTGCTGAGCTGAACACCAGCATCCAGTAATAAACGCAGCTTCCTGCTTATCAGCCTCGGTGTCACGGTCTCTCTGATTTGTTTTCCTGCAAATTTCTTGGTGCATTGGCCGGGAAAGTGGAGAGTTTAGAGATGGTGTCTTCCACCTCCCTTGTCACTGGGATATGACCCCTGGGGCGAGGGGAGAGGGCACCTCGCCTGTTGCCAGCAGACCAGTTGATCTGTAGGGGAGAAGCCCAGCATCCTGGAGTAAGGACCCCAAAAGCACAACGGAACCCAGTGAGGCGCAGGAACCAGCATAAGGAGCAGCACCTGATGGAAAGGGTAGGAACTGGGGTTACCTGGAATAGACCTGTTCTTAAGAGACAGAAGGAGAGCCTGATCAACTCCCGAAGTCCGCTAAGGGGTTAGAGGCATTGGAAGGAAACGCTGTCCTGAGACGAAACCATAGACTCCAAGGTACCGGTGGAGGGTTAGAGTTGTATAATTGTGTATAAGTGAGACGACTAGTGGAAGGGTTCTGACTCAACCAAAGGGCTGAAGCCAATGTTGAGTCCTAAGCCAGTGGCAACCTCATTCAGCTGAAGATGGCCCCAGCCCCATAATAAGGCTGGTCCAGGTTGGAGGTTTATACCAATTTGCCAATTGTTAAGAGGTGTCTGAAATATCTCCATGAGGAGTACAGACAAAGCAATTGTTCCCCTTACCCTTTTTTCCTCTTTCTGTGTGTGACTGGTGTCGTTTAGGGGGAGGAAGATGGGTGAAACACAAAAACATCCCCCTTGAATGTGTGTTGAGAAATTTTTGGCAAGGTTACTCAGGAGACTATGATGTGAAACTGACTCAGAGAAAGCTCTGAACATTCTATGAAATAGATTGGCCTTCTTTTGGGGTAAAGTGGCCCATGGAAGGGTCATTAGACAAAAGAATAGTTGCTAAGATATTTAGAATTATCATAGGAAACCCAGGTCTGGTCACCCTGATCAGTTCCCATACATTGGCTATTGGCAAGATGCAACAGTGTAATGAATTGCACCCTGGATCTAGAAAACTGACTTTTCGATGGGATTCACCCTGGACCGGTGCGGGAATACTAGCCTTGCTAATTCTCCACACAGTGAAAACCAGCTGTGACCCTACCTCGGTCCTGAGAAATGAGGGTTCTCATTTATGGTTCTGTTTCTAATTGTTCACAGTAACAATTTGCAAGTTTTATAAACAACAAAGAAAAGTAACCTAAAATATATAGCTTTATAAACAGTTTTATATCCTGCATTTTAGTGGGGGACAAAACCCCATTAACATGTGCTGGAAACAAATAGTTCTGCAAAGCTTATTA